AGCTCCTATTTTTAGAACTTAAAGGTATCCAAAGTAATTTTCATGCTGTATGTCACTGACAATGGATATAAAATAGCTGAAATTAGATGTTATGAAATCATTAATTCAAATTGTACTCTACAAATAGTAAGTGAATACATTTTAATTATAAATAAGCCCTTTTAATTTTGTTACTGTCACGCTTCTCTTGTGAAATTTAATTTCATCAGGAGCCTGATCCAACTCCATCAAAGTCAATGGAAAGTCCCCCTTTGGATCAGGGCCTAGATGTTATGGTGTATTTAAACATTCTTATCTAAGTATGCATAATTAACAAATTAATTAGGTTGTCACCATTTGACGCATCGTTTGGTGGACTATGTACAATGAGTTAGATTTGCATAATAGATCCTAGTGGAGAACTGTGAACATAACTCCCACAACAGTACTATTTGCACTGATTTTATTTCAGTTTTAGTTTCCAATAGTGATTATACAGTATATTTTACTACAGAATTTACTTTTAATTAAAATCAAAGTATATATTATATAGACCTAATGGCACCTAGTTTGGGGCTGTTGCCAGTTTGGAGGTAATGACAATACAAGTCCCTTAGGATCATTGATTTCAGTGGGAACTGTTAGTACACAGCACCTCTTGGGAGAAGGCCCATAATCATTGTGATTTTACTTCCTATAGGGTCACTACACTTTTTACTATACAATTGTACATTTTACCTTGATAATTTGCCTCAGCTCCTGCCATATACAATTCATATTCTGCCACATTTCGTATAAGGTGACTAGCATTCAGCTGGGAGGAATGAACTAATTCAGTCAAAATTTTCTACAGCTGATGCTTTATAAGGCCCATGTGACTCAGCATAGCCTTAGAATTCAGTAACACCCCTGGGTGGAAAAATGAATGGCTTGCAATCTATCCCAATGGGCTCATTCTGCTAGCTATTAGGCTATGATAAATGCTGAGGAATTCCTTTGAAATACTTTGCAATATTCATTTCTCCCCCCTTATTAAGGCTCTTTAACACATAAGCACAGGCTACCTTTTATATACCTTTATTAATATAGCATAAAGGAGTCATTCACTCAGGCATGAAAAGATCCAGAAAGACAGGGTGCAACAGAATGCCACTATTAGCATCTTGAATAACATACCAATGCTCACAACTGCATCTTCGCTATCTTCATTTTAATTCATGCCATAGAATACCATCCTGTGCTGTAAAAACAACTCCAAACATGATGTGATTAACCTTAGGGTCCCCCAGACCCTCATCTCAAAGCCCACTTGTACATGGCCTGTGCTTTCTATTCATGTTCAACCATCTGATTTCCATATCATCCTACTCGCCCTCACAAGCTGCTATTAGCATAACAGAGCTTTAGCACGACATTGATTGAAGCCAGTGCTTGCTGAATGCAGTATCAAAGCATAATTTGCCAGAAATCAAATCTAATTTACAGTGTACCACATTAAAATTTCTCGAACACTGTTTCAAGAAAACTGTCCTAGACCTCTAATCTTAATTGTTCTTCTTTATATTCTTGTCTAGTTCTCTGGAATTCGGGCAATATATTTTGTTTTAGAGCCATTGTCTTTGACTTGCGAATGTCAATTAAACAAGAATTTTTCCACTCCGTTTACTCCAACCCCGTTAATGTTACAGCTGAAACAGTGAAGGGTGTTTGGTTGATGGGCAAAACACTTGGTTTATTACATCACAACAGGTTCTTTGGACAGGTTTCCTAATGTGTTGGGTTTTTAGGTAAGTGCAACGATGTGTTATAGCAGTGCCTGCTAGGGCTGAAATGAGTTTATTTGATTAACATTTGTTTTAAGGCTTTATAACTTATGGTCCAATGGCCAGGGCACTGAAGGGGGAGCTGAGAGACCAAGCTTCTGTTCCCAGCTCTGCCACTGACCTGCTGACTTTAAGCAAGTCACTTAACTGTTCTGTGCCTCAATTGCCTAATCTGTAAAATGGGGATAACAGTGACTACCCATCTTTGGAAACTGCTTCTATATCTGTGGTTGACAAGGAGCCCCCTTTCCAATAAATTCAAAAAAGCCCTAGAGTCATCTGAAAGAGGACAAGGTTGAACCAGTCCCTGCTTTAGGGCACTTCCTGCAGTCTGTAAAAGTAGTAGTGCTACCACTTTGGTGCCCTGAAGGTGACACTCCACCAGAATTCCTTCTGTTGTAAGTGCTAAATTGTATTATCAAGTCTCAATTATGGTTGGGCAGCCTGGCTGTGGTAGGTAAATCTGTTCCAGTATTGTGAAGTCATGGTTTTCATCCTGTAAACACCATTAAAATCTGAAGTTCCCTATTAACAGAGCTGCAGTTCCACACTGCGGTGCATTGGCACAAATTGGGGCACTCTTTGATTTCCCTATAAAAAGTTTCATTACATCCTGTAGAGAGGTTACCCTGTATAGGGACATTGGAAAAGTAGGGTTTAGTCATTTTAGATGCTTTTCATATGTTCCCTAAAAATATAGTATAAAATAGATTATCTAAAAGTTGGCTGGAGGGGATGGTTTTGTGCTCTAATGACGAGTACCAGATCAAGGCATAGATACTATAGGCCAACTCCTGACATCATGTGATTACCTCAAAACCTCATCATTTATATAGTTTTAAATTATATTTCTAGCCCTCATAACTGCAAAGAAAAGCTTGGAAATGTGAGCATAATCAGTGCAACAATGTCTGCCTGAGTCTGCAGAAAGCCTGAAATGCTTGCTGTGAGGGTGTGAGCTGCCCTGTTCATCTCAATGCATGACATGCTGCGGTAGCCTTTTCAGTACCACTCTGGGAGAGGACTTTGTTTATGGCTCAATAAGAATAGCACAGAAGGCCCAGCCCTCCCACTCAAGCAGGTACCCCAGCAGCTGGGGTGTAAGTACTAACCCCCATCTCCCACAATTAGCACCCTTGCCACTCATTGATGAAGGCAAGCCCTCTGCTTCTTCCAAGGGTTGGGGGACTTCTTCTGATGCTCCTGGAGATGAAAGTCCACAATGTTGTTGCCACTGCCTCTGTGAGAGATGAGGGGGATCCCTGCCGCCCTCACTCCAAGTGGGGTAAGGTGGAGTCATGGGGTGATCTTTGTGTTATATTGTCCCTTGTGCCCTGGATTGCCTTAATTCTGCCCTGCTAATCATCGGCATTGAAATATCCATTACAACCAAATCTGAAATAGGTCTATCACACCTCTCCCTTTAAATATAGCAGATGGATTTACCTATAGTGTGCTGTGTGTGAGGGTGTTTCAGATTAATCTGGAAAAACCTATCTGCTGTGTGTAGACATTATGGCACTTTTTGTAGAGTGAGGGTTTGCTTTCCCTGGATATTCATCAGGCTGCTGCTCTTGCACCCTGGAAACAGTTGTGTGAATGTGCATTGGGTTGAGAGAAGTATGGTGGGGAGGGAATCATGCTGCAGCTAAGGGCTCTAGGAGGCTGTAAGCTGAGTTAGAGTCTAGGGGCTGTACATCAAAGCAGTACCATCGCTATCAATACAGAGGCCACTCAGAGATGACTGATGGAAGTTGAGGGAAATTCCAAGGCACAACCTCAATCCCTCCCTCCCCACCCCTTTCGGATAGCTAGCAACGTGCTGTGCACTAACAGGAGACACAAACTGCATTCCTCAATGGGAGCTGGAAAATTCACACTCAGGAGTATGAGAGAGAAGGGGAGGCTCCTTGTGCTGCTCTGCACCCGGCACATAAATGGAGCAGCTGGCAATATTTGAAGTGTGGTCTAGGATCCTTTGGGAGAGACCTTTTGGAAATGTAAAATACTGTGAGTCCAATCATAAAATGCCTAAGGAACACCAGTTAATTTCAAAGTGGGGAGATTTTGCTTGCCATGTGTTTTAAATGTGTCACTTCCTTTATTGCCCCATGCTTATCATACATAAATTCAGCTGCCTTGTTTCCACCTTCCTCCTCCATTCTATCTTCATCACCTCCCATCTCCACATCATCATTTCTCTTTCACTCATTTCCCCAGCCCTTCCTCCTCTTCCTATGCTCCCCTTTCCCCTGGTCAATTCACACTACACTGCTCCATTCTCCATTGCCTTCAACTGCTCACCTCTGACAACATTTCCCCTGGTCTTGGTCTTCCATGTATCTCCTCCCTCACCACCAGCTGCAGCCCTCCCTGACAGCTCTCAGGTCTCTTTGGCATTACAATCCTCCCCTTGTCCCTTCTTTCCCCCTTTTCTCTCCCCTCTCCTCTTTCTGTTCTGTCTGGGATGCCTGCTCCTTCTCAACATAGATCACTGCCATCCACAGACTTTTAGCTCCTTCTGCCTTCATCTCCTTGCACTCATTGAAACCTGGACAATATCTCACACTGCCACTCTCCTTCATACCTACTTCTCCTTCCCACGCACATTCTGCTCCCACTTATCCCTAAAGGACCATAGGGGAGGCATTGGACTTTTCCTCTCCTGCCTCTGTCGCTTCTAGACCCCTCCCTTCCATTCATTTTTAAAAGTGTGATGAGATGGACTGAAAAGGATGTTGGGGACATGCTAGTTCCATACCCTGGGGCTCACCACAGCAAAGCACAGTTGTCTCTAGACTTAAGGCACAACAGTGAGCTTTCTAAAGTGCAGATGGTATGGGAGTGTCACTATTGGTCCAGGGGAGGCTTGAGGACAAGGTTAGAACATAACCAGCTCTTACACCATAAAGGGCCGATTGTTGCCCCTCAGCTTTTATTGACATCAGAGCTTAAACAAATATGTGTGATTGTAATGCTTTCCTTCTTACAGCTGATGGAGGTCATACATGGAGATGCTTGCTTTTCTGTCTTTTTTTTTTTTTTTTTGTATTTACTAATTGTGTATATACTAATTAATGAATGTCCTCTGGCATGAAAATGCATCTACATAATGCTGTCTTTTCTCTTTGATATTATTCATCCATTCTTTGAGAAATCTCCCTCAATTTTACATCATGTTTTTTTCTTACATTGTAGCTCCCCCGCAGTTTGTGATAAGGCCACGAGACCAGATTGTAGCCCAGGGTCGAACAGTGACCTTTCCCTGTGAAACTAAAGGAAATCCCCAGCCTGCTGTTTTTTGGCAAAAGGAAGGCAGCCAGGTGAGTCCAAACCCTTCATCTGAACGCTTACCTCTTTTTTGAAATTGCACATTATTCAATATTTTAAGTCACTTAATTAACTCTCTGTCTTTCACATGCTCTATGCACCTTATAAAGAGATCTTGTCTGCTTCATTACACTCCATAAATATCCTTTAATAATGTTGTTGTTGATGCACATTTATATTATGAAGCACCCAGAGGCCAACCAGGGTGGGGTCCCATTGTGCTAAGTGTTGTACAGACATACAGAAAATCCCAGTCTGTATCCCTAAAAAGTTTTCAGTCTGAAACACAAGACAACAGGTGGATGGGATAAATATGGTATGGCGCGAAGGAGACAGGGTAACAAAAATAAGAGGATGTACACAATTCTTAGCCAATCAGGGGCAGTAATTACAACAGGGCACCTGTGTTGTCATAATCAGGTAGTTATAGATCTAACTGCCTGATTTGCACTGACGTGTGCCACAGTGCATGCAAATGCAGGTTTTGAGCATGCAGCTGTTTGTCTCCATAAAACTGGCATGCACAATTTCTGAGGCTCATTTTGGAAAAATTTCCCCTGGGAATTTAGTGTCATTTTAATGACTGAGTTTCTGACACCACCCTGGGCCAATACTGATTTCCTTAGCTTTAGATTTGAATGTGATGCTGTCACAGATAAATCTTTGTGTAAATTTTCAATGTTGTTGCTTTGCCAAGACTAGTTATTTCAGAAGACAGGCTGTCTCACTGTCTGGATGGTTTTCCTTTTGGTGGGTAAAGTTTGGATGTTGCAAACCATGGCCCAGATTCTCTCCTGCACATGAGCTCTGCTAAGGGCAGGAGAGGAGAGCATCAGGGAGCTGGCTATTGTTACATCCATGTGAGATGCATTGCACTGGTGGAATTCTCTGCTGCCCATTTCTGGATAGTTACTTGCCCTTTGTGGCACCTGAATTGTACAAATGGCCTAGATCTAAATAGAGACTGTAGCCCTGGATGTTAATATAATTTTTCTCCTGGAGTCAACTGGATATATTTTCATATGTAACCCTTCTGCCAGGTGGTTAATGGTAGTTAGAAGGGCCAGATTCAAAATGTCAAGAGTCCCTTTTGGAGAATATTAAAATTGACTTTAGCCCCCACCTAGAATTCTGGGAAAAATAACTCTTAAAAATAACTCTTCCAGTTGCCCTAAGGAGGCAGAACTTCATCACCACCACCACCCCCAAGCACTCAGGTTATGTCTACACTTATGGCAGCATGTACAGTACGTACACTGCTCTCCCACCTAGCCTGGGTATAAATAGCAGTGTAGATGGCAAGGCATGGCCTAGGCAAGTAAAGACATGCCAGAACCCTAGGGTATGTACCCTACGCAGTTCTCTTCACGCCCAATCAGTGCCTCCCCCATCTATACTGTCCCACTGCCTACTCATTGCTGGAGCCTTTCCCCACCACAGGGAAGCACACTATAGTGTGGATGCAGCCTGTTTTTCACTGTGGCGTGTAGCTACACTTGTCCTACATGCTGCCACCAATGTAGACAAGGCATTATTTTTATAGGGACGTAAATTCTTGGAAAATGCAGCAATCCAGTAATATTCAAATAAAGATTAAAGCAATCAGGAAACCTGCAGTAATCCATTCAAATCTTTCCCACCACTCTCAGTGAATACCCAGTAGCCTTAGGCAAGAGTTCTCTGATCACATCACTCCACCCACAACAAAACTCGCTCTTGGTTTGGGTCTGTGAATATTAGTAGCCCAGTGTTCTCTGCAGATGTGTGTCTGGGCCTGTTAAAGCTGCTTGTCTAGTCCCACCTTGAGCTGCCACCACCTGACCTCATTGAAGTCCCATCAGCTTAGTCACTATTCCTCAGGTGTCTGCTGAGGAGTCTGCTCTGCACCATCTAACTGTGCCTTTATAACAAGAAAGTAAGTTAAGAATGGAGAAAGTCTGCATCCTGTATAAAAGCTCATCTTCTTAGAATGTTAGAATGTGGGCTGGTATGGCTGTGCACCAAGGTGTCCACAGACATCTTTATTACTGCACATATTATTTGAGGCCCCAGTCCTGCAGTCAGAAGATCTACATGAGTGGAGCCTCGGACCTGTGCAAAGGTGCACCCACACGGAGCCACAATGAAATTAATGGAACGCTGCATGGGGCACAAAGGTCCAATCACAGGATCAAGACCAGACTCAATACCCTATGTTCTCTGGGGTTGTGCAGCTACAGGAGTACATACTTGTGCAATTGTTAAGTTGTTTAAGTTGATTCTTCACTCAATTTTATTCATCTGATTATGCAACGTGTAAGGAGGCTCAGATCTAACCATCAAATACGTGGTTCTGATTCTTGCAAAGTGCAGTATTGTGGACCTCACTAAGGAGCAAATTGTTCCAGGAGGAAAATATAATAGCATTTTGAAATTAAACCAGGAAGTGCTGATGTGCTAGCAAACATTTCAAAAACCCTTCTTGTAGAGGGTTTTAATAACATGGTAATGTTTATGTAAAGTGGGCTTATAGTGTCACGCTTGAATCTAATAAAGTGGACATCCATCATGTTGTAATAAAGAGAAGAGCTTCTAATTAAAGTAGGGCATCATTTGCAGGATTAAAGTCATTTAGTGTAATTGAAAAGTGTTAATACTCTATTTTATCCTCTTCCATTGGTATCACTTCAAGGGTAAAAACATTTTAAGGTGAAAATGTGTCTTCTGTCTTTAATTGAATGTTATTACCTACTGATTGTACCATGTTGAAGCTGTTTAATTACAAACCTGGAAAATTAATTACAATATTGAGAACCAGATCCCATAGGGTTAGAATGTTCTTTTTTGGCAAATAAAGGCAACATAAAAATTGATATCTTGATGTTTATAATCAAACCTTGAAACATAGCTCAATGTGATTCATTATACCCACATGTTCTTAATTGAGCAACAATGAAACAACACAGGTTAACCAGGTTAATGCTACCATCCTAATATAAACTTTCCAGGCTTTGAAGTAAGACATTGTTCCATTAAATAGCAGAGTCTCCACTTACTATATTTTATCATCGAAATGAAGAGTACAATAATTTGGCCACACCTAAGGTTAACATGCAGAGTATGGGGACACTGTATCTCTGAGTATTTACTCCTTGTCATTTGGACTTGCAATGCTTTCTTTGTCTCCTAGAGAATGTCTACACTGCATTTAAAATCCTGTGGTCGGCCCATGCCAGCTGACTCAGGCTCCAAAGGCTCAGGCTAAGGGGCTGTTTAATTGTGGTGTAGTCGTTCAGGTTCGGCCTGCAGCCCGAGATCTGGGACTCTTGCACCTTGCAAGTTCCTAGAGCCCAGGCTCCAGCCTGCAATTAAACAGCCTCTTAGCCTGAGCCTAGCAGGCCTGAGTCAGCTGGCACGGTCGGGCCAGACACAGGTTTTTAATTGCACCGTAGACATACCCTTAGTCAAGAAACTATCTTCCTTGCAATGCTGCTGTTCGTGTTTATTGTAATATTGTGTAGAGCTAGTCAAGCTAGCCCATTCCAGTGATTACAGGGAAATCTTCATCCTGGACCTGTTCCTCCATCCTGTTTCACTAAGCACAGCCAGCTGGAAGGAAGGGGAATAGTTCCCTCTGGAACGATCCTTGTGCCAACTTGTGCATCAGCAGCTGGTCCTTTGTATTTGGTAGCCTTTTCCCCTAAAGCTTGACAGCAGCACTCCAATGAAATGCAGCAGCTTAAGGCAGTGAATTTACTCTTACTAGTCTCTAGTTCCTAAACACTGTGGGCAAAATTAATCCCTGGTGTAACTCCATTACAATCAATGGACATAAAGCCATTGAAGTCAGTGGAGTTATGCCAGGGATGACTGTGGCCCTCTGTGGCCCAGCATGTCACCATTAGGCCTGAATGGGCGAACAGTTTAATTGAATCCACTTACTTTATTTTAAATTCTTTTAAATTTACCTCTGCGGTCAATTTATGGCAATTTATAATCCATGGGGTCTGATCCTGAAGGGTGCTGAGCCTCATCAATTCCCACTGAAGTGTAGAATTCACTGGGGCCCAAGGCCCCTCAGAATCTGGCCCATGCTGAAGAATCAAAAAAGGATGGTCACATAATCAGAAATTAATATTTTGAATGCAACAGTGAAAATGATTATAAACCCCGATTTGTACTACCTTGTGATGCCATCTACAAATCCTCAAGATGGGTGATGAGTGGCTGCAAAACTCTGCCACATCAAAATTCTCACACAAGTGGGCTTTTATGCTCATTCTTCATTCAGTGCTTGCTTACACTACAGATCCTTGACCAGTATAGCTATTCCAGCAGAGCCCCCCTAATGTAGACACAGTATAAGCCGGCAGAAAGAGTTCTGCTGGCATTGTTACACCACCTCTCTGAATGACATTAGCTAAGCCGACAGAAGCACTCTTCTGTTGGCACAGTTGAATCTACATTGCCAACAAAGCCATGTCAGGTAGGAGGTGTGATTTTTTCCAAAACTACTCAGCATTAGCCTAACTTTGCTCGCATGGAAGTCAATGGTAAAATTCCCATTAGCTCGCATGGAAGTCAATGGTAAAATTCCCATTAGCTCCATTTGGAACAGTTTTAGTCAACACTCAGCGCTTTTAAAAATCCCATCCTGCATAAATTAGGCAAACTTTGAAATCTTAACTGAACTTTTCCAAACTCCCATTATTAGAAAGCCAAACAAAACTACCTTATCCTAAAGTAGTGCTTTTCAAACTATGGAGCGGGCCTCCCAAAGGAGGCATGGGAATGTGTCAAGCAAGGGGAGGCCTGAGCTGTGCGCTATTTTTTCTTTTAAGAGCTCTGGCTGTCAGTCCCAGGTGGCTGGGGCTTGTGCAAAAGGGTCATACACATCCAGGAGGTGGGGGGATAGGATACAGAGGACAGCCGGAGCCCCACTGCACAACCCCCGGGGTGACAGCTGGATCCCAAGCACTAGCTGGCTCCGGCTCTCCTTCCCATCCACATCCCTCACCTGGTAGCGGCGGGACTCCAGCTATCAGCACTGGGGTGGCAGCAGCAGCACAGAAGTAAGGGTGGTAATGGGGTGCTAAGTCTGCTGTGAAAAGTGATATTGAAAAATCACATTGTCACCGTCACTTCTGAGCTGCTGCCCGCACAGCACTACCTATACAGCTGAGTGCCCAGCCAGCAGCCGCTGGTTTCCACTCTCCCTTCAGAGCTGGACAGCGGTATATATACTTATGAGGGGCAGGGGGAGAACATAAGCAACTATAGACACAAAGGAGGGGCACGATCAAATAAGTGTGAGACCCACTGCCCTAGAGTACTGATCAATAGCTTACAGTAGTGTTGCTGCAGTGTTTGGGTACGTCACTGGTATTAACAATTGTAATATTTTTATGGGGGTTGGTTCAGTGCTTGTTTTATTTAAGCTGGTTCATAAATCGATAAATCATCGTGCCATAACTCTTATGGAATTAGTTAATTCAGGCAGTTTTCCTCCTTTAAGTACTAACGTCTCATCATAACTCCTAAACCCTCTCCCCTATTCCCCTTTTTCATCCCCCTCCGTCACTTTCACTAACCTGTCTTTCCCCAAGTGCTGTCTCTCACTCTTCTCAACCCTTCTTTCCTCGCATCAAAGCCACTGTCAAATGTTATCACTTTTCCCTGGAAAATTTGCCCCCAGCCGCTAAAGCCCTGGTTCCTGCCTCAATTATCTTTTTGCATTGATTACTGAATCTCCTCCACTCTATTTTCCCCAGTTCTCATCTCTCTCCCTCCAGTCCATTAAAAGGGCTTCGGCTAAAATAACCCACCCCCAATCTAAGTGTGCCACCCCCTCCTCAAAACTATCATCTCCTTGCCAATTTTCACATTAAATTTATACTCCTTGTCCTCACCTTCAAGGTTCCACACTGTCTGCCTCTTGTCTATGTCTCAGTTTTAATTTCCTTCTACTCCTCCTTTCACCTACCATGCTCTGCCAACCCCTCTTTCTTTATGATCCTTTTGTGTCCTCCTGCCACTTCTGCTTCTATACCTTGTTCACGCTGCCCCCTTTGCCAGGAACAGTATTCATTGCCAAACAATCTCACTCTGCTCTTTCAGATCACTACTCATAATTCATTCCTTTTAGGTAGCTTTCTAATGTGCACTCTAGTGTTAGCTGCTCCTGATGTAACACCCAGAAATGTATGTTATTAAAATAAAGTTCAGAGTTATCAAGGTACATATGAAACAAATTCAGAACTAATGAGATACATATGAAACAAATCACCCACATGTATTTGTTGAAACTTCTTCCAAAGCTCAACCCCTACTGGCAACACAATTGTCTGTCATCATTTCTCAATAGTGCTGTGTCTAATTTAAACTTCAAGCTTCTCCAGGCAGGGAACATTAGCTTATTATGTGTCTGTAAAGCCCTATGCACACCTATGATACTATATAAACAGTAGTGTTTTTTTATTTGTGTTTATACATAATGCTTGTAAAGAAAATTATTGTGCCCTCGACTGAGGGAAAAGCAATATTCTTGTATTTGCACTGATGTGATTTGAATTGTCTCCACAGAATCTACTCTTTCCAAACCAGCCTCTCCAACCCAACAGTAGGTATTCAGTATCACCAACAGGCGACCTCACTATTTCCAACATTCAACGATCTGATGCAGGCTACTACATCTGTCAGGCGCTGACGGTTGCTGGGAGCATTTTAGCAAAAGCTCAACTGGAAGTTACTGATGGTGAGAAATCAGGATTTCTATTGTTTGTTTTTTTTAACCAATACCACCGAAGAATTAAAATATAATTTGTAAATATAGACATGTCAGATCATGTAATTCATATTGGCAAACATATAGGATTCTACAAATTATGAATAATGCAAAAAGGACCTCGGTGCAGAGTTTTCTCCATGAACACAAAAACATGGAATACAGGTTTGCATATTATATGAAATTTTGTACCTCTTTAAAACAATCAGTGAAAAGGGAGGGATACACCAGTTCAAAATATAATTTGTGTTAAGGGACAGTGTTCAATACAGTGGAACTGAAATCTAAGATGCCCGTATTCTAATCCAGAATGAGCAATGGATGGTTTTGTAGTAAAGCACTGAATAGCAACTCAGGAAAATTCGGTTCAATTCCCAGCTCCACAACAGACTTCTTGTGTTACCTTAGGGAAGTCACTTTGAGACATATCGTCATCTCATGAAAATTGGAATAACTCCATTTAAATCTAGGGAGCTATGTCTGAGCACATCAACTGAGGACCCTGGCCCTTAGTTTCTCTGTGTCTCAAATCTCCAAATCTCAAATACTTCCTTACCCTCACAGGAGTGTTTTAAGGATAATTAATATGTGTGATGCGCTCAGATACTGCAGTGATGGGAATCCGACAGATTGACAAATACTACAACACAGTGTGATTTGTCGCTAGTCATTTCCACATTTTGTTTTAGGAAAATACCTTAAATGCATTCTTTCCTACATAGCACATGTATCTCCTTTCATTTGAGCCCATGAATCCTGTTAACATCAGTATGAGTTCTGTTCATGGATCTAGGGCAGAATAATGCCTTTATATTACTAGAGAAAATGGAGCTGAAATTCCTATTTGCCTAGCAGGTCATCACATTCCCAGGCCTTATTATTCCCTATCTTAACTGACTCATTAAATATCTCCTGACAGACTTTGACGAATTTTTGCTGTTAAAACTGTTGTTACATGCACAGATCCACTATTACAGCTCCCTCAGAGACCTGCCTACATCATGAAAGTTTGAAAAGATGTCTAATTCTGAATAATCTGGCTTTTCACAAAAGCATATTCATCGCGAGTGACAGGTAGAGAGGTTCAGACACACGTTATAGAGGTTTGAGCATGAATTTGATGCCTTTTTTTTCTGTTGTTTTCCAAAAGCCGTCTATATTTTTATGACAAGGAAAGATAATTTCTTCCTTATCCTTGCATCTTTACAAGCACGCACTGCATTTCCTTAAAGTAGTTTCTTGGAGATTAAAGCCTAACCTTCGCTCTGTGACCTCTTTAAGTCTTCTCTTTCTCTTACTCTCTATGACAAAATGATGCATTTTCATACAATTCAAATTTACATGTAGATTAAAAGGTCATTTAAAATTAATGGAAAGGCAGTATTTTTTAATATCTGTCCACGACGCTGTCTGATTCAATGCCATGGCTGTGATTGGAATAAATAGAACATACAAACATTGGCTGATAGGACATTGAGCTGTTAATGGTTGCACCTGCTGTTGCTGCAGAGATTTACTGCAACAGGGGCTGAAAGGAGCAAGTCAGGTTCAAGGATATCAGTGATGAGAAATTCTTCCTTTAGACAGACAAGGCCTCTGGTCCTTCTTAATCTTTATTTATTTCTCTGTATGAAAAAAGAAATCATAATTGACCTCTTCTGCATCTGCATCAGTTTATGCAGCCAGTCAACAGAAAAAGCTCATTAAGGTGTCCATGGCAAAAAGCAAACTCAGCTTAAACTAATTACATTCAAAGGTACTTAGCATTCTCCATTCCTTAAGAAAGCATTCAATGGTGCCTGTATGACTAAAGGAATGAAAAACCTGCATTCTTCAAATATCTCCCAGAACCTGAAAGTCAGGATACTCACTGTAATATAATACAAGATTATTTTATAGAAATATGAATTCATTATTGAGTTGAGGGGTGGATGAAGGTCATGAAGAATGTGCAAAAAGAGTATTTTGCAATTGTGATTGTATAAATAAAGGTACTACTGTATCATAGATAACTTTTGACACTGCCTTTAGTTAGGGAATTAAGCATAAATATCTAAATAATCTTTGTCAGCTCATGCTGAGTATAGGTTATAGAAGTTAATGTTTTTATAAGTAGAGAAATCTAATTTCAGGGTTTAAAAATATATTAAAATATAAACATTTCAAATATTAGCCATATATTTAAGCATTAGCTTTCCAGTTTTTGGCTGGTGATTTCAGTTTTACTTCATAGCCCAGAATTTTTCTGTTTGGTTAATGATTTAATAATAGTGGCAAGCCATCATTTTCATTTTGAACACATTTTTGTTTGATCCCAGAGTAATTTGGATTCAATTGAAATTCCAATACAGAATGAAAACATATGTCATGTGCAGAAAAACAAGTGCTTAATTATACCATATATAGCAGTGTTTCAGTTGTTACATTTTTGCACTTAGACGTCTTCACTGGAAATATTTTTAACTCAAGTGTTCCTATGAGAAAAAATTACTTGCTGTGATGAAATGTGCTGAGTTGAGTGATAATTTTGCTGATTATGGACTGTGCTGAGAGCTTTCAATATATTTGAAATTCAAATCTTGTACTATCTTGAAAGATCATCACATAAATCCAGAGTCTAACTCACATCTGGAAAAGTAACATAATTTTTTTTAAAAATCAGACAGTCTTTGCAATCTTTCAAAAGCAAAGGTAAGCATCCAGCTCACAGTCTTATAACAGCAGGTCATGCAAATAAACTAAAAGCTTCCATTTAACTGTGTGTCTGAGTGATATAGAAAGAATAATTCACAATTAGTAATTTATTCCATAAATTTAGCCTCTTTTTTGTGCACAGAATATTCAGAAGTAAATTTCAATTTCCTCTAATCAATTCATTATTCATATTTATTGATTGATCTTTTTGGCCACTGTGTATGTTTTTTTACTCTATGGATTAGTCACAAATAGTTCTCTGTGAGTATCCAGCTCTCTCTACTTGAAATTCAAGTTGTATTGCTTAGTTGTGACTGGTCAGATAAGGCACATGATCTTGTTTTCATCACTAGATTACATGCGTATGTGAATGCTTGCAGATACTCATTTTTAAATTCAGTTTTCCTGAATGTGTGCACATTGAAGTTCACTTTTCATGAATATTCATACCAGTATAGCTCAATCATACACGTTTGTAGAAAATGAACACAAAAGGGTTTGTGCTTGGACAAAACAAATTCACCTAAAAATTAGAGCAACCATTCATGGACTTTTTACCGTATTTGTCCATCTTTGAGATAGATAGACCCTCATACATATACAAACATCTTTCCAAAGTGCTGCTCAAGTGTTGGTTCCTGATTCACTGAGAGACCTATACCTGTTTATATATTTAAATAACTGACAAAAACAGGAGAATTTAGAAACATTTTACAGAAGATTTACAAGTCATAGAAGTGAAGACAATACAGTTGTTCACAGATCACTGGAAATCCTAAGTGTTCATTTAACCTTTAGCCTTAGTGTCATGGAAACCTGTAGTAGTCTTTCACCCATAACACCCTTGAAAATGAAGATTCCTTCTGGCTAGGAGACTTTCAATTACTTTATTGATCAAACCCATTTAAAAGATTATGAGCTACTCATTTGGGCAGTAAAAAAACTAATTAGATGCCAAAGAGCAATATCTAAAAAACAATAAGCTTTTAAAATACCTATATTGCTACCCATAAAACAAGGCAATGAGTTGCTACAAATAACTAAAGACGTATAGTTCTCAACCTAAGCAATTATATGTTTTCATTCTTTTAATCTATACCTACTCACCTAGAAAACTGAAAACTCATTGATCTGCATTAAATGTAAATGAAAACTTATGTGGCCTAGTTGTCACCTGAATATATTTTTGCTGTAGGTATAGTACTTTGATGGGCCATACACATGTTTCTTTAATTACAGCATAAAATTGAGATTGAGTTTTTATGTCTTAAAATGACGGGGCAGTACTCTCTCTTCAACAGTTGTGTGTAACTGTGCTTAACCCTAATGAGATGTAAACATGTGCTTTGAGGTGAAAATACATCCCATTGTGTTTTTCTTGTGTCCTACTGGTTCCTGTTTAATAGCTGAATTCAGTGTATGGTATTTCAGAATTTCCAAGGCAGTTTTCATTTCCTGTGACAAATATTCTAAATTAGTTTTCAATGCACACTTTAAATTTTCAGTTACAATAAGTTTGTTGAAATCACAACCCAAGGTATTATTACAGCAAGTAGATTCATCAGCCTTATTTCCCAGATTAAGAGAAGGTTTTAGGGTGGTTGCGATGTTACAGTTCCAAAAAGAAACATTTTGAATAAAAAAACAGATGCTTACATCAGCCCTCCTCTTTCCTATATATTAAACAGTATGTCGAAAGCACTTTGGAGCCTTGACAATGCTGTGGGCTCATGTCTTGAACAGTTCAACACAATGCAAGCCACATTTCTTTAAGACACACTTCAATTTATTTTGGTTTCATTCAAAGGCCTGTATGTATACTAAATACATTGGGCCAGATCCTCAGCTAGAGTAAACTGATGTAACTCAATTGACATCAGTTGAGGTATGCGAACCAACACTAGCTCAGGAGCTAATCCTATTTATCAGAATATTTTCATTCAGATGCCAAACATACTATTCAGAGATTTAAAGTTATAACAGTATGGAAGCTAAACATCTGAGAACTGTTTCTCAATTCTGCTAGACTGGTGTTATGATGGTATAACTCCATTTCCATTAATGAAGAATCCAGCCCCTTGTTTATTTTACTCTCTCTCTCTCTCCATAAACAAGTCTTATAGAAACAACAAAGCTATGTTTTTCTCCTTCACAGATGGCATGGAATAGGTTCAACATCAGAATTATTTATGAAAAAATTTTCTTGCAAGAAAATTTAACATGAGCATTTATCTCATCTTCACGATATCTCACTGGTAGCAGAATAAGGCTCAGATGCAGCTAGGCACTCACTAGTTAAGAATCTTTTATGAACTATTTTAAGCATGCAACTGTAAAATAATAGAATAATAACAGAGTTCATGGTTTCAAAAGGTGATAACATGATTTGATAGGTAAACAGACAGCTTGATTAAATCTGAACTGTTCCTCACTGAAGAACATGATGCAATCAGTTAGCTCAGTTAGGGAAAGATTTTGTGTTATTGTTAGATATTATTTCCTAATGATGAACATTTGCACATTGAACATGAATGGGAAACATGATCAAATGCACACTTTTAACTCACCGTTATGGTTGGTAGACAACTGTCTTGGCTTTTATCTAAGGCCCTGATTCAGGAGACCATCTGTTTTCAGGAAAGCATTTAAACATATGCTTAACTTTGACACCAATGAGATTGAAACACCTGCTTAAACTTAAGCATGTGCTCTAGGGTGCTGGAACAATTTGTATAGTGGGGTGCTGAGAGCCATTGAATCAAAATGTAAACCCGATATTACGATAGAAACCACTTTAAGCCAAAAGGCGCTGCTGCCATACGCACCATCTTTCTGAGTTGCCAGGGTGTGCTCGACCCCCTGCTCCACCCCAGGCCCTGCCCTCATTCCACCCTTTCCACTAAGCCCTCACCCCGCCTCACCTCTTCCCATCCCTGCTCTGCCCTGCCCCGCCTCTTCCTGCCCCCACTCCACCCCCTCTCCTGAGTGCCCCCACCCTCACTCCGCCCCCCAACCCCGCAGTGCCTCCTGCCCACTGCTGAACAGGTGATTGCTGCAGGTGGGAGGCACTGGGAGGGAGGGGGAGGAACTGATGGGGGGGATGTTGCTGGCGAATGTTGAGCACCCACTAGTTTTTTTCCATGGGTGTTCTAGCCTCGGAGCACCCATGTAGTCAGCACCTATGCATGTGCTTGAGTGCTTTCCTGAACAAGGGCCTTACCTATTAGCTAATCTTAAGCAACGCCTACACTGCAATAAAAACCAACCGCGGCTGGCCTGTGTCTGGTGACTCCTGCTTGCAGGGCTCAGGCTGCAGGGCTATAAAATATTGCAGTGTAGACATACCTTTACTCAAATAAGTGTGATAATCTTTCAGTGTTTGTTAATAGCAAACTCACATCTAGGTACCATTTCATTGTAACTAAGCACAACCCTTTTAAATGTGTCAATCATCTCAGTTGTTGGTGCATGAATGCATAATGAGCATTGCAGAAATTAGCATTTTCGACTCCCTGGATATCATATACGATTTTCTTAAAATCTATATTCTGTTATACCAGATACTAACTGCTAAACATGATTTTTAAAAGTAGAGAGGTTCAGTAATTGTTGTGTTTTCATTTAGTTTTGACAGATAGGCCTCCACCCATCATTCTCCAAGGTCCAGCCAATCAGACGTTGGCAGTAGATGGGACAGCTTTGTTGAAGTGTAAGGCCACTGGCGACCCACTTCCTGTTATTAGTTGGTTAAAGGAAGGATTCACATTCCTGGGCAGAGATCCTAGAACATCAATACAGGAGCAGGGGACCTTGCAGATTAAAAGTCTACGGGTAAGTACTAATACGAATGAATCTTTGTTGGGACTGGGTCGTTACTGAGCTGGTGAGGAGCCCCCATCAACAGTTAGGCATCCTTATCTTCAAAGTTGACATGTGTCCCTCCATTTAGAATAATGTCTTTCAACAACAAGCTTTCATTGAGCAAAATTCTCTGCCAGAGAAATGAAAAAGGGAGATATGATTTAACGTTGCTGTAGAGGGTTCAGGTAACACATTAGGATACAGACAAAATGTGTTAGAACATATTACCCAGCAGTAGGGGCTGGTCGAGCTTCACTCGATGCAGGAGATTGGAGGGGGGACTAGTCACCATCTCCATCTCATTTGATCCTGAGGCTGGATGCCAGTTCATTCAAAGTTGCAAGTCTGAGCAGCCTCATTTGTTCCAGCTGATAATTGTCTCCCTGGAGCTGTTACTGCAGCCAGGGATTCCTAGACTGTAGCCTAGGGCTTTGGCTACTCCCTCCCTTACCAGATCCATTACAGGAGGGCCTGGGAGAGGGAGATACCCTGGAGCTGGCTACGCTGGTTCTGTCCTATGTGTGTTGGTGTTTCCCCTGCTGCTTGGTTAGGGCAATATTTCATCCCTCTTTGGCACAGGGCATGGAACACTGTCTAGCCAGTGTGGTTTTGAGGTATCTGAAAATCAGATGCCCTGAATTTTAGAAGGGTGGAATTCAGATAGGGAGAAGAGACAAAATGAAAAGTTGTCAATGTGAAATTTGATCTGAAATGAAATTCTGGTTCCCTTGATCGCCTCTCGTCAAACATTTTAAATGACTTTTTAGCTAAAATAAAATAAAATAAAAACACCATATATTTGAAGCATGTTTATTTTCCAAAGGGGATTTAGAATTTAATTAATAGGCCATTTTCTTATATAATTGGGTCCATTCCTGTAGCCTGTAGTCATGCCTGTGCTCCTTACACATGCAGATTGTCACATGGAAGTCATTGGCACTCCTTTCTTAAATAAAGGAGGCCTGTGTTCAAAATCTGCTGGTTATTAGCTGGGTACAAGGCTTTATAAGAAAGCAAAAATAAAACAAAATAAATAATCCTGAATGAAGAGACAAAGTGTAGTTTTGTGTGCATACACAGGCTCAATTCTGGAATCAGATACATGTGGCGGATCTAAGTTATGCCACTTGCAGTGGTCCCAGCATGTACTGTGTGCTCCAACCTGTCCCTTCCCCACTCGGGTAATGCCCTCTGTGGGAAGTGACAGGAGCCAGGTGGCATGGGGTAATCCTCAGTCGCTCATTTAAAGTAGCTTTCTGGCTGCTTTGTGCTGCTGTGCAGATCACGGATAGAGGACTGATTCTTTGATATAACTATACTCTCACAGAGTGGTTGCCATTCAAAAGGCAAAATTTACCAATAATTTAACACATTGATATCTGAGATAACACTATTATGTCTTATTTAGAGTACAAACAAAATCTGCAGTACCTTGTTAGTAAATGTTATCTTGCTAATGACAACCTTTGTATAGATGTATGTATTTATGTATAAAGTATAGAGATACTCATTATAGATATCCAAATATGTAATACGTATGGTGCAGAAAGGTAAATATAGTTATATTATACATTAGTTGTTTAAAAACAATTTTAGGAAATATTTAATTTCATCAGCACTAATGCTTGTACTTAGTTTTATCAAGATAATCTGCAGAACTGTAAAGAACAAGAAATGAGCAGCCGTTTAGTTTTCTGCCAACATCTCATCAGTGATCGTAAATGAATTGTTAACCTCCTTGGAACAAAATGGAATTTATTAAAAAATTTATGCTAGCTTTCCTTGAGTAAACAATTTATCCTCCCTCTCTGGGCTAAAGGCGGGCTTGGGCCATGAAGGTTAATGCATTTTTACTGTAGAGCTGGATTAAACAGTGCGGTTGAATAGTCAAGTTTCCCCAGTAGTGTTAGAAAGCAGCAATTAAAGGTGGGAGCTTGGTGATTTCAAACAAACTTTCAGAGCATTGATGATGGACTTCTGTGGAGTGTCCATGAGGCAGAAGCTCATGGGATGCCTGCCTGCATGCGGTTATGCAAACAGTAAAATACTTGTTGAATCGTGCCAGCACATTAATGTCTTTGTTAGAGGCACATGATCTCTAAAGGAGAAAAGAAATACACTGGCAGTGGAAAGGAAAATCCGGCATTAAGTGTGACTTTAAAAGACATGGAGCTTTTATTGATCCTTGAGTGGCTCATTCTTTAATACCCATTTTCCTTTAAGGCTCAGAAAGATACTCCTTAAACCTTCTCAATGCAGTAACATGCATTATTTGAATCAGACACACTGGGAAGAAAGACTCAACACCATACATTGGTTTAAACTAGGGTTGTAGATTAATTGCAGTTAACTCATGCAATTAACTAAAAAAAATTGATCGTGATTAAAAAATTTTATCGTGATTAATCACAGTTTTAATTGCACTGTTGAACAATAGAATCCCAATAGAAATTTATTAAATATTTTGGATGTTTTTCTACATTTTCAAATATATTTACTTGAATTACCGCACAGAATACAAAGTGTACAGTGCTCACTTTATATTATTATTATTGATTACAAATATTTGCACTCTAAAAATGATAAACAAAATAAATAGTATTTTTCAATTCACCTCATACAAGTGCTGTAGTGCAATCTCTTTATTGTGAAAGTGCAACTTACAAATGTAGATTTTTTTTGTTATATAACTGCACTCAAAAACAAAAGAGTGTAAAACTTTAGAGCATACAAGTCCACTGAGTCCTACTTCTTGTTCCGCCAACTGCTAAGACAAACAAGTTTGTTTACATTTACAGGAGATAATGCTGCCCACTTCTTATTTACAATTCCATCTGAAAGTGAGAACAGGTGTTCGCATGGCACTTTTGTAGCCGGCATTGCAAGGTATTTACGTGCCAACTATGATAAATATTTGTATGTCCCTTTATGCTTCAACCACCATTCCAGAGGACATGCTTCCATGCTGATGATGCTCGTTAAAAAAATTATGTGTTAATTAAATTTATGTCTGAACTCCTTGGGGGAGAATTGTATGTCTCCTGGTCTGTTTTACCCCCATTCTGCCATATATTTCATGTTATTGTAGTCTCGGATGATGACCCAGCACATGTTAGATTTAAGAACACTTTCACTGCAGATTTGACAAAACACAAAGAAGGTACCAATGTGAGATTTCTAAAGATAGATACAGCACTTGACCCAAGGTTTAAGAATCTGAAATGTCTTCCAAAATCTGAGATGGACGACGTGTGGCGCATGTTTTCAGATGTCTTAAAAGAGCAACACTTCAATGCGGAAACTACAGAACCTGAAGCACCAAAAAAGAAAATCCACCTTCTGCTGGTGGCATCTGAGTCATGATGATGAAAATGAACATGTGTTGGTCCGCACTGTTTTGGATCATTATCAAGCAGAACCCATCATCAGAATGGACGCATGTCCTCTGGAATGGTGGTTGACATGAAGGGACATATGAATCTTTAGCGCATCTGGCACATAAATATCTTGCAACCTCGGCAACGACAGTGCCATGCGGATGCCTTTTCTCACTTTCAGGTGACATTGTAAACAAGAAGTGGGCAGCATTTTCTCCTGCCAATGTAAATAAACTTGTTTGTCTGAGCGATTGGCTGAACAAGAAGCAGGACTGAGTAGACTTGTAGGCTCTAAACTTTACATTGTTTTATTTTTGAATGCAGTTTTTTTGGTACATAATTCTACATTTGTAAGTTCAACTTTCATGATAAAGAGATTGCACTACAGTACTTGTAATGTGGGTATTGAAAAATACTATTTCTTTTGTTTTTTTACAGTGCAAATATTTTTAATCAAAAATAAATATAAAGTGAGTACTGTACACTTTTTATTCTGTGTTGTAGTTGAAATCAATATATTTGAAAATGTAGAAAACATCCAAAAATATTTAAATAAATGGTATTTTATTATTATTTAACAGCGCGATTAATCGTGATTAATTTTTTTAATCGCTTGACAGCCCTAGTTTAAATGGGAAGCTGCAACTGTTATGAATTAATGTAAACTGGAAGGTTTAAGTCTTCCGTTAAGGCTACCACATCAACAAAGAGTCCAGTGGAGGTCCAAACTGAAGTCATTTAGACAGGACCAATCTCAGGGCAGACTACAATTAGATCCCCTTCACAATAACCAACCAATAGGGATTTTAGCATCTTACCAAAATAATTGTCACTGCCCTTATTGCATACAAGGGTTCAATGTATATGTCAAAGTAGCTCATTGAAGTACATCTAATGAGTATGGTCCTTCTTCTTAGCTCAATGCTGACATTTACTCTGGAGCCCCTACACCACCTTGCCCATGCTCCATAGCAACCACACTGGACCCCAGGCCAAAGTTGTGATAAATCTTGAACGTGAATCTACACAGTTCCCCTATGTGCCAAGTATCCCGGTTGCTGTAAGGAAGTGAAAAAAAATTCCATACCCAGGTCAATGGTGACAGGAAAATTCCTTCTCTGCTCCAAAAAAGCTGCTTACTTATTATTCATAGCATGCCCAGAAACCCAGTGCTAACCAGGGAAAGTGCTTAATGACGATCATAATCCATCCATATATTCAGATTTTCAGTTGTCTCTCTTCATGTCCTTAAAAGCAGCCAGTTGGCCGCAGTCATTGGGAGGGGGTGGCTGATCCACAAACTATGTAGAGCAGGGGTGGGCAAACTTTGTAGCCTGAGGGCCACATCGGGTTTCTGAAATTGTATGGAGGGCCGGTTAGGGGAGGCTGTGCCTCCCCAAACAGCCAGGCATGGCCCGGCCCCCACTGCTTCTCCGACCCCCTCTGCTTCTCAACCCCTGACGGCCCCCCGGGACTCCTGCCCCATCCAACCCCCCCATTCTCTGACAGCCCCCTGGGACCGCTGCCCCATCCACCCCTCCCTGTCCCCAGAACCCCTACCCCTGACCGGCCCCCGCCGCCCCAGCTAACCCCCCCTCCTGGCTGCTCCCCCAGGACCCCTGCCCCCATTCAACCCCCCTGTTCCCCGCCCTCTGACCGCCCTGCCCCCATCCACACCCCCGCCCCTGACCACCACCCCGAACTTCCCTACCCTCTCTCCAACTCCCCCTTCTCCCTGCCCCCTTACCACACTGCCTGGAGCACCAGTGGCTGGCGGCGCTACGGCCACGCTGCCCAGAGCACCGGGACAGGCCACGGCTCTGCAAGAGCTCCGGCACCCAGAGCATTGCGCTGGCGGCACGGCAAGCTGAGGCTGCGGGGGAGGGGGAACAGCAGGAGAGAGGCCGGGCTTCGCCTCCCGGGCCAGGACCTCAGGGGCCGGACAGGAGGGTCCCGTGGGCCGGATGTGACCTGTAGTTTTCCCTCCTCTGATGTAGAGGTTAGGTTTTAGTCTCTCTGCCAGTGGCATGATCTGTCCTCCCACATGGATCACCTATCTCCCATGGTATGGGACGCTGAAAAACAATGAATTGCCATTGACTGTCTGATTTCTCTCCTTTTTTGTGTGTTTTAATAGCACAAAAGATTAAAAGGCAAACAATATTGTCATGCAGATATGAAATTCACTAGGTACACATGTAATCTGTTCATAATCTGCTAGTTGATTTCATGGCCTGGAAGAAGTGGAATACCCTGAGTATTCTTTATATGGAGATATACCTATCTCATAAAACTGGAAGGGACCCTGAAAGGTCATTGAGTCCAGCTCCCTGCCTTCACTAGCAGGACCAAGTACTGATTTTGCCCCAGATCCCTAAGTGGCCCCCTCAAGGATTGAATTCACAACCCTGGGTTTAGCTCAAACCACTGAGCTCTCCCTCCCCCCTACATAGTATTTTCCTTCTAAGTATACCCACAGTGTCCAGTGCCATACCCCACTTTGCAACAGCAATGCTCAAATGCACTTAAGAAACTTTGCCTTAAAAAAGAGTTTCCACTACCAGATAATGAGGAGGTACCTTTTCCCAACCAACAGCTCAGAAAACACAAAGTAAAACAGTACAGCAGAGAATGCTCTGCTGCTCCCCTTCCCTGCTGATAAGGCTATCTCCCGTCAAGTGCCTTTGTCTTTCCCCAGCAACTGGTTCACATTTTGAATATTTCAGCTTTTATCAGAGAGCCTTTCTGACTCAAGGCAGCTGCATCTTTTTAAAATTCAGGCCTTGCTTATACAAATCTACTAAACAGTTACATCACTAATTACCTGTCGTGCCCTGTCCATAACAATAGTATACTGCAGCGATAATATGTCAGAAGCAGAAAGTGCCAACACGATTCAAACATGATAAACTTCAAAATCAATTAAAATATATATCAGCAGATATTGTAAAGAGCATCTTGCTGATTTGCCTCAACAGCCATCTGGAAAATCAAGCTATGCGCACATTGATTTCAGTTCCAGTTTAATATAGTTCAGAGCACGCACATACTATTCCCTTACAGTCCAATAAACCATTTTGGATTTAGTCCTATATCCATTGAGATGTTCCAATGCAGCCTTCCCCCAGTGAATATAATTCTTCTCTCATATCATCAGAGTCAGCACTTTCCCCACTCCATTTCCATCTCTAGGCTAACATGCTTTACACACAGCAGGTTGGGGGCTTCTCAGTAGACTACACACTGTTGGCCAACTGCGGTATTCCATTGATCTCAGTAGATTTCCCCAGACCAAACATCAGGTCTCATTCACAGCATCCCTTAGCCTTCAAAATGAGAAATAACAAAACATCAGGGGAAATCAGTCAGTGTGACAGAAAAAAATAAAAAGAAGTGGGGGGAAATAACTCTAATAGTGTCAATGTGACCACAAACAATTTCCCCAAATAAACTCTGCATATCTGGATCATTTATTTGAATATAATGCTTTTTCATCCCAAAACACGTCTCAAACTCCAGACATACAGCACCACTGAAATGCACATACAGCATCACTGAAACCCCTCTCGTGTGGAAGGCAGCTGCCAGCTCATCAACAAGCTCACTCCATTCTGCATAAAAGTGGAGAGAGAAGAGGGAAATTTGGCCTAGGCCACTGACCCAGCCTTACCCTTTAGAAAATGTTATGCCTGAGGACTTTAATATCCATACTAACTAGACAGGACTGGTTTTAAAGTCTCATCTAAAAAGACCCATACATGATAAACTGCATAGTAATACTTCCTCTACAACAGAAAAATAAAAGCAGGTGAGACAACCCTGCTGGGATTGGAAACTGTAAATCAAGGCAGGGATTATGAAACTGAATCTTAATCTCCTCTGAGAAATGAAATCTGTACCCATTTCACAATTTAGACACACTTTAAATTATAATTTCAGTCACATCTAAGTTATATTATATTTTTACTGGAATTCACCTGGATCTTCCTTCATATATAAAAAAACATTGGTGACATGTTTTAAATTAACCATTCTGTAATACCCATACCCTGTACCAATGGCATTAACAATATGAGAATTAGAATAATGGGCGGGCGGGGGGGGAGAAAACAGAGTTAAACTATTAAGAGCAAGTAATCTTATTATAGTTCGCTAAAAGTAAGCCACCATTAAATGATTATTTGAGAAATGTCTGGTGTTCTTTAGTGATGTACAATGTAGGCTAAGTCCTTCTTATTTTACATCAAGAAATATTCAGAAAAAAATTGAGAGGATTGTGCCACCTGATGTTAAAGGTTTGTCAAAAATGCCCTTAACCATTTTTGTATGACCAGATATCTGACACTGGCACTTACACATGTGTGGCCACAAGTTCAAGTGGGGAGACATCTTGGAGCGCTGTGCTAGAGGTGACAGGTAAGTCATGTCAGAGGCTTGTTGTTCTCTTGGCTTGTGTTCACTATATTATAGCAGATCTGTTTTGAAGGGAACCAGGATTGAGACTAATATATTTTTGGTAGAAAGGCTGGATATCTTCACATGACTTAGATTTTGGTATTATTATCTCTAAATCTCCATTGATAGTAAACCAGTTGTATTGTATTAGTATCAAGGTACGTTAGAGAGCTATATCTAAACTGGAGTACCAACAAACTAACTGTTTCCATGCAGGAAGGCCCTTATGGCCATGAAGAATCCCACTGAAGTCACTGGGGCTTCATGTGGGATGAAAGAGTCTACCTAATTGGAGATCCTTTTCTAGGATTGGGGGCTTTCTCATGCCTTCTATTGACTGATGTGTTGACATTTTAGGTGAATCTATTCCAGTTATTAAAAAATAAATAAAGTAGATCAGGCTGTCTGCCTCCTCCCCTCCTTTTTCTTTTATTGTTGTTGCTTTCTTTGGTTTGTTTTATGAGCAAAAGTTTCTATAAAGACCGACAGCCAAGCATCCAGTAACATAAGCCTCTAAATGTAAACCTGACTCTCTGTTGTTATTGTTAAGTTAGGTCAGTAAGCATTGGGGCCATTGTGCTGACTATTGTAAATTATTTTTATAGTTTTTTATCTTTGCTCTCCTTTTTTTAAATCAAATTGTGCAGTCAAGGATAAAGGTTAACTATTTTTTATTTACCCCTTACAGAGTCTGGTGGAGCAACAATCAGTAAAAATTATGATTTGAATGACCTTCCTGGGCCACCATCCAAACCCCAGGTCACTGATGTTACTAAGAACAGTGTCACCTTGTCCTGGCAGCCAGGCACCCCTGGAAGCTTACCAGCTAGTGCATATATCATTGAGGCTTTTAGGTATGTGAAAATTTCCACTTCTAATCTCTTTCCTTTCTAATTTTGTTTTAACCCTAGTGTTAACTGTGCTCCTGGTATGATGGTACCTGTGTGGACATCTGCAAATTCAATTAACTCACTAAAGGCCTTCTCTTTGATGGCATGGAGTTCATTCTTAATCTTCAAGAATTTCTCCTTTTTATTATTAACCACTTATTTCTTAATAGAACTTTTAGACAAGCACTAGACTATTTTCTTCAGGTCAGCAGAAGTATAGCTTGACTATGCATTCACTCATCTGTTACTTTTTTCTTAATCCTGATCATCACTGAGGGTTTCAGATGAGACTGTTGACATTCAAATTGGACAGCTTGAGAGGAGGTAGTTTAATTAGGGTTGGGCAAAATAGATTAAAAAAAAGGTAATGATAGAATTCCCTAAACCTTGAACATGGTGGGATGTTTGGTCTTAAAGCAGAACCTAAAAAAAAAAACCTTTTGAAATTCCAGTATGTGTATACCATATGGAATAAAATATAGCATTTAAAAAACAAACATCTGATCATTTAGAGCAGGGGTTGGCAACGTTTGGCATGCAGCTCACCAGGGTAAGCACCCTGGCGGGCCGGGCCAGTTTTATTTACCTACTGACGCGGCAGGTTCAGCCGATCGCGGCCCCCACTGGCCGCGGTTCACCGTCCCGGGCCAATGTGGGCGGCAAGAAGCCGCGGCCAGCACATCGCTCGCCCACGCCGCTTCCCGCCGCCCCCATTGGCCCGGGAAGGTGAACCACGGCCAGTGGGGGCCGCGACCGGCCAAACCTGCCATGTCAGCAGGTAAATAAAACTGGCCCGGCCCGCCAGGGTGCTTACCCTGGCGAGCTGCGTGCCAAACGTTGCCGACCCCTGATTTAGAGCTTGATCCTGCAAGTCTGAAGTCGATCAGAGTTGAGGAGCTGAGCACCTCACAGGTGCACACAGTGTTTTGCAGGATTCAGCCCTTAGGCCACAATTCAGCAAGTTACTTAAATCAATGGGTTACTTGTGTGCTTCAAATTAGGGTCATATTTAAGGACCTTCCTGAATCAGAGTCTTAAAATGAAAGAAAAGGAGTAAATATATTTTGCCTTTTAGTTGGCATGGTAGTCTATGGTCATCTAAAATATGTTCAGTAACAACTCAAAAGGCTACAGTGATGATTACTCATCCTTCTACATAAATATCTATGTGCCATTTCTAAAATATGCAAATAATTGTTTTCCGTAAAAATGGTAACTTCCAATATGTCTTTTGACTCATATGAAAATAGTGACTACCTTTAATAAGCCCAAATGGAAAAGAAAGAAAAACTTTCTTATGAATAATATACAACCGACAGCTATGAAATGAAATTCTCTCTTTATCCTTAGCAAAAGTTCCCATTTGACTTTACATAAGCTGCAGTGACATCCCACCGATGACTCTAAAAATCACCATATATTCAAAGGGAGTTATTTTGAACAATCACACTTGAGATCATTACAGATGCAAGATGCTATATGCTGTTTATAAGACAGTCCAACTGAAAACTTAAGCACAGGAAAATATATTCATGCATTTTTCTTCTTTTACAGATGTGTTTTTGAAAGGGTCTATAGTAATTTTACAAATGGATTTAATTCAAGGAGAACACATTCTTTTAGCAAGACAATTTATTGGCATAATTTACCCTGTAGTATAGAAAGTTATTCTTTTAACAGGTTTATTATTTTTATACATTTGTTCAAGAGGGCCCCATTTATCATTCAAATTTACTTTTCCACTTTTCTATATCTGTTCCTTTTTCAGGTATTTATTTTAGTGGGCTATAATATATTAGGAAAGGCTTTCACTTCAGCTGGGCTGAAATATTTTTATGGTACTATTGTTTTGTTTCATAATGTGGTCTACTCTCTTGATGAATTAACTAAAACCAGCAGAACTGTTTCTTTTTTTTTTTTTATTGATCTTGCTACCCTCCCCCCCACCCCCCAGTGGTTAACCTTGGCAAGGAAATGAAACCCAACTACTTTTACAAATTCTTTCTCGCCCCAGTATGTAAAATTTTGTTATAAAGAGGAGGGTGATGAATTGTTCTTCTTAATCACTGAGGAAAGGATAAGAAGTAATGGGCTTAAATTGCAGCAATAGAGATTCAGACATTAGGAAAAACTTCCTAACTGAAAGGATAGTTAAGCACTGGACCAAATTACCTAGGGAGACTGTAAAATCTCTGTCAGTGGAAGTTTTTAAGAACAGGTTAGACAAACACCCGTCAGAGATAAACTTAGTCCTGCATTGGTGCAGGGAACTGGACTATCAGGGACCCTTCCAATTCTATATTTCTATGATTTCTTTTTGCTTTAATCTGTAGTCTTCAACCATGGGGTTTTTTTTGTTTTTTTTTTCATTGCAGCCAATCTGTGAGCAATAGCTGGCAAACAGTTGCTAATCATGTAAAGACAACACTCTACACTTTAAGAGGATTGCGACCCAATACAATCTACCTGTTTATGGTGAGAGCAATCAACTCACAAGGTCTGAGTGACCCCAGCCCTATGTCAGATCCTGTCCGCACACAAGGTAATGTCAATCATTAATTGTTCACATGATCTTCAGCTGTATCCAGGACTTCTGCTTGAATGACTTGATAATAAAAAGAAGGGTAGGAAATCTCTGAAAATTGAGCCAGTTTAGTTCAGCTGCTTTGCACCACTCTGGTAACTCAAAACATTGTAAACCCACCTCAACCAGCGGGGAGGTGATAAATCCCAGTTTAATTCCCTGCTGCACTACGGGCTTTTTGTATAACCTTAGACAAGTCACTTAAGGCCAGATCTGTAAAGGTTTTGAGGTGCCTAAAGATAAAGATAGATGTCTAGTGGAATATTCAAAAGCACCTAGACGCCCAACTCACATTGGGTTCCACTAGATTCCTATCTTCATCTTTAGGTGCCTTAATACCATACTTACTCTCTCTGTGCCTCAGTTCACCATCTGTAAAATGGGGATAGTAGCACTTCCCTTCCTCAGAGGGTTTTTGTGAGGATACATATGTTCAAGATCATGAGGCACTAAATACTGTGTTAATGGGGGATATATAAGTATGATACAAAGATAGAAGCCAGGTTTACAGCTAGTTTTCATCACCAGAGTGGCACAAAGCAGCCAGAGTGTATGAATCAGTCAGGCCCAATATTTTTGCAGAGAATCAATGTGAATCTAATTCATGCTGAGAATTATTTTAAAAGATATTCTGAGACACGTGCGTGTGTGTGTGTACATATTTTATGTTCTCTACATTCATCCACTGAATACTAAACTAAAAAGGGTGGCCTAAATAGGACTTCTCAACTGTAGGACAGCTAGTGCAATTAGATGAAGATAGCCTGATCCTCCATTGGCTCCCATCTCTTACACCTGTACAGAAAGGGTGTGAAATGCTGACAAACCAGAATGGTTGTTTTATACCCAATTTACTCTCTCTATGCTCAGTCTAAATGAAAATGGACACGCTTCTCTGTGGAGCACAGGGTGTGGCATAGCTTTGTCAATGCATTGACCAAATTCTGCACCCCACAGCATAACTCTTCATTGAACAGGTTGGAAAACAGTTATGAACAATTGTTTAATCAGACTTATTCCTGTTCACGGATGATTCAGAGTAATCTCTTACGATTCATTTACAGAAAGGTCTTTTCCTTGCCTTGTATGATTGTGCAGTGAGGCAAGGAGGGTGTACACAGCTTCTCCACCCCTGCAGAGTCACGCAGAGTAGTAGCCACAGCACTGGTAGGAGATCCTAGGCTCCTCTCTGCAAAGGGGCAGGGATGGGTGAGAACAGATGAGGAGTGGGCAGAGGCTTGGTTTTTAAAGGTCTGTTGCAAATTTTTGCTCCCCACCCTCACTGCATCAAGGCGACTCCAGGTGGGATTCTGCTTTCCAAAGCAGTATGCTTCCCACCAGTTCCCCTAGGGATGTGCGGCTATGCACCAGCCCTGACTCTAAGCTCCATGCTCATAGCACAATCTAGCTCTTAAGAACTCTCACGTTCCACATCTTTACATCTGACATACTGACAAGAGATTTGATTTCAGCAAAAACAGTTCTTTTCATTAGCTTCAGGACATATTGTAGTTTCCATTTCCACAAGCTGTTCGCCAGCCACACATGCTGCAACATGTAGAGTATGTATAGCTCTTTGATACCTTACCGTTTAGTAGAATTAAATCATAAAATCAATTGAGAATTAGCATAATGTTTTGATGTGATTTCTAATAATGCTTGGATTCAACTCAGACTCACAAAGGAAGCCGACATGCAGTAAAAAGCCTGTTCATACTAGCCATTGCAAAGTAAAGAAGCAATTAAAGCAATGACACATTATATTAATTCACAACAGGTATCCATGATAACTGTTATGTCTTAAAATTTGGCTTCATTAAATAAAAATATGGCAAATAACATGCAGGGTATACTGGGCAAATTTACACCATTGGATTGCAAATCCTTACACTGAGCAAGAATTCCTCAAGACACTAAGAGCACTACTGATCGCTTTGTATGTTTAATAACCATATATTCAGAAACACCCTTGAATAATATTGAAATAATAAACTCTAAATAAAACACTTCCAAACATACTACGTTCATTGGGAGCTAATAGTTGTTGAGGTCATGCTAAAATAAAGTCCTTTGTAACTTCCAAATAAATACATGGTTCTCTCTGGCATGTTGGTCACCGAGAAGATGTCTAGCAAACACAACTTGAGGCTAGCCCTCCCATTCTGAGGAGCTCTCAAACACCATATTGTTGTTTGGCTTCTGTCAGGTGGTCTGTAATCTGGTATATTTTATTTCCAGGCAACCCCAATTGCCATACCTTTCAGGATGGCTTGGGTCTGATCTGTTCTCTCCTTCCTGGACTACCCTGCTCTGGTCTAACTTCTCTATGGCCAGCGCCAAGTTTTTCAATGTCCCCTATCCCAGACTACCTTTCCCAAGCTCATCCAACCAGCCAAAAGTGTCTCTAGCTGTGAGCCTGCTAAGAAGTACAGAAGTGTAGCCTCCCGCCTGCAGTAGTTGTCAGGTCTCCTTCTAGGATAAGTTCCACTAGGGCAGGGGCTCTCCTCTAGCATTATAGGGACTGTGAAGCTCCTAAGATTTGCAGGAGAATTGCTCCCACCGGCAGATTGTCTTAGCCACATGGCATGGAACAGTCCAATCACATCTAGCCAATAGTTGCACATTATGACATTTTTATTTTCTATTTTTTTCATCATAAAGCCTAGGAAATTCCTTTCAAAAAATATGTTAAGAAAGCATTAAAAATGTACAATTAATCACTTGAAATCAAACAATGACTACGGTAAGGTTGCCCATACAATCTAACTCTGCCCCTTTGTGGCTAAGGGTAATTTTTCATAACACCGCCATACCTAATTTCACAAATAATACAACAGAATATCACACAGTATTCTTCTACAGCAGGGGTGGGCAAACTTTTTGGCCCGAGGGCCACATCAGGGTTGTGCAACTGTATGGAGGGCCGGGTAGGGAAGGTTGTGCCTCCCCAAACAGCCTGCCCCCCGCCCCCTCCCACTTCCTGCCCCCGATTGCCCCCCTCAGAGCTCCCGATCCATCCAATCCCCCCCTACTCCTTGTCCCCTGACCGCCCCCTCTCGGGATGCCCGCCCTCCATCCAATCCCCCTGCTCCCTGTCCCCTGATTGCCCCAACCCCTATCCACACACCCGCCCCCTGACAGCCCCCCCGGGACTCCCACCCCCATCCAACTGCCCTCTGCTCCTCGTCCCCTGACCACCTGTCCCAGGTTGGATACGAGGTGGGATGGATAGGGGATCCCGGGACCCCCCGCCCCTAACTGCCCCCCGGGATCCCACCCCCTATCCAACCCCCCCCACGCTCCCTGTCCCCTGACTGCCCTCCTGACCCCTATCCATATCCCTGCCCCCTGACAGGCCCCCCGGGACTCCCACTCCCAATCCTCCCTGTTCCCCATCCCCTGACTGCCCCCCCAGAACCTCCGCTCCATCCAACCGCCCCCTCTTCCCTGACTGCCCCCCCCGTGCCCCCCACTCCCTACCCCCTTACTTGCAGCAGGAGCTCACAGCCACAACACCCGGCCAGAGCCAGCTGCGCTCCCCACGCTGCCCAGCGGGAGCGGCGGGCCAGAATGCGGCCCGCGCGGCAGCGTGGCTGCAGGGAAAGGGGGGAGAGCGGGGGAGGGACCGGGGACTAGGCTCCCTGGCTGGAAGCTCAGGGGCTTGGCAGGACATTCCCGCGAGCTGGATGTGGCCCACGGTTTGCCCACATCTGTTCTACAGCTTTATATACAAATGAGTAGCATCTTGTAGGTCAGTGCACTACTTTGCGTAGGACAGAAAAATCAATTAAACAAGTTTACATGAAAATCACATACACAAAGACTACTCCAGAATAATTATACCCACATCCTATGGTGTGGTTTGGTTAAAAACGTTATATTGGAATGAGTTTGGAAAAGCTGCCTTACTTATGAGTTGGAAAGCATTTTATTTATTATCGGCTAGGTATTTTTCAGAAAAAAATATTTGAACATGTTTCAGAGAGAAATATTTATTGGCACCGTATTTCACTTCCCTCATCTGTAAAGGCACATATGCTTAGTGCCATGAATCCAGTGACATAGGGTTCAGTGGCAGAGGAACACAATGTAATTTTAGAAAGCGAAAGAACATTTTCTATACCTAACAATGGCATGATTTGAAGGTACAGTATCCTGGGATCTTCCTGGGTCTCGGACTTACTATTTCCTGCCCTGGACATCAGGTGAATGTAATTCTGGGAGAGAAGGACATATTTCTCATTCAGGTTGATTTTGAAAAATGCAGCTATCTGAAGTTGCTAGACATTTAGAATGCAGACCTTGGGAAGATGGATAAATGGGCAGAATGCCGATATGGAAGTTAAAGTTGCATGCAAAATGCAATTAATCACATGGATAACACTAACACATGTAGGTTCTTGTGTTTGGTTTAGTGGTGATATCCCGCTGTAGCTCTAATTAGCAAATTAGCAAATTTTTTTAGCTTATGGACATTTGTCCATATTTAAAAAAAATACACACTGTATATACAATATATTTTTCCAACCAAAGGGGATATAATCATAGCACGCTGTTGATTCTGTACCATTGGTAGATAATATTTTCTAAGATTTAATCATGGGTAGCTATGGGAATTATTTTATACCAAGTATAATAAAAGTGTTTTGTAGTTAGTACAAGTTACCTTTCAATAAACAAGTCTGAGTTGCTCTGTTATAGATTTATCTTAATATCTGTCTGTCTTTTTCTTTTTCACTCACTTTGAATAGGCATATTTTGCTGAGCACACCACTTCTGTACCATTGCTAACGTTTCCATATTTGGATTATATTCCCTTTGGGAGGCCCATAGACTCATCCCACACATTTGAAAGTCAATAGAAAGCCTCTGTAGATAGTGTCTCTTTGGTGAATCAAAACCCATAATATTGCTCGAAATATGAAGCTGAAATCTGGACTATGAAAACTAGATTTTTATCTAAATCCTGAGAACTGAAGTATCTGAGACATGCTTTGAATGTTTTTCTTTCTTAAGAGCAGTATTATCTCTACTTTACAATAATGTTTTTCCTGTTAAGAGAACAAAGGGCCACATATTACTCTCCCATACCCATCAGACAGAAAATATGTCACCTTGTTTGAGTCTTCCCTTTGTGAGGTGAGGAGTTTGCGGCAGCATATATGGGGAAGTAAGTGTGGTCAGTGAAACCAATGGCTCCAGTGGATCATCTGTGAAATCTGAGCAGAACTCATGTATGCTCATCCGCAGGCCTCTGGGCCCTCTTTCTCCTCTAGGAGAATTACTTTTGTGAAGTAATTGAATCTGAGCACCCTGCCTGTGCCCCCAACTCCCTGCCCTTCAGGGAGGAAAGCAGACACCAAGGGAGTTAGTAATGGTTTCCAGTAGCAGTAAGTCCTACATGGATTTCCACTGGGAATTCTGTGGTGTGCAGACGGACGTGTGCCATGTTCAGTGGCTCCTTTCTGACTCTTAACCCAGAATAACACCTCAAGCTCCCCAGAGTACTAGTGCACCTCTTGGGAGGGATCCTCAATTCTTTCCAAGGGCAAGTTTGGGAAGAATGTGGTAAAGGTGCACTACTCCTTCCATAGACCTACGGAGGTTTCTATGCTGACTTGCTCCCCTCCATGCTATGTTGTGGAGAGGAACATGAGGCCCAATCTTTGAATATATGGAATTTTGAAAACATTGGGACAGAGAAGTGTTTCTCACAGTGCTGCATACTAGAGAGCCAATTCACCACGCACTAGATCCACGCACAGAAAGTCACTTCTCTGAGCAGAAGGGTGATTCAGTCACCTCTTCAGCACTGACCTAGCAGATCCTTCTCCAGGTGGTCATGGGATGCAGATGGGTAATCTCAGAGTAAATGTGAACAGGATGGGGAATGAGTGGGTAGACCAGAGGCAAGACTAGAGGGATTCACATTTTGAGGCCACACACAGAAAAGACAATATAATTTCAGATTGCATAACTTTTTCCACATAGCGCCACGGAAATCCTTGAGGACCACTATTGCCAGGGAGCGGAGCCACATTGGTGTGGTGGGATGGAGCCTCCACACAGAGTACCCTGGCCTTACACAGAGCCACTGGAACCTACCTGGTTTCAGGTGGGGAAATCCATGTTTTCCTTCCCCACCCTCCTGCTGAAGGCATGAGTTGGACTAATCTCTGCAAGATAATCCTTGTGGAGGTTTTCTCCCATTTTTTTTATGTGAGAAGGGGCAATTTGACCTCACAACTTTATCCCATTTTCAGAGATGGACAGCTGGAAAATATATACATTTGCTATAGTGGAATAGGCTTAAATAACAGGAAATTGCTATTTTTAGTATGGTTCCCTGGCTTCTCTCACTTTCTAACTCTAATGGTGTCAAACTGAAAAGGAAAGGAAATTGTAATACATATTGAAAAGGAGGGAAAATTTGAAGAAGCATAATGAGTATAACATACAGTTTAAAAACAAGCTAATGTACATATTCATCTTCTGCAATACCATTTGCTTAGATTATATGAACTAGTTATGCTCTAGATTTGCAGGCACACTGGCACATCAAGACTATTATCATCTGAATATTTCAAAGCATGTGAATATGGCATCTCACCAATCACTCACTAGGTGCTAGGGAAAAAAATGTTTTCAATGACTATTTGGGCTAGATAGGAACATTTTCTAATTGCCTAAGTAATAGAACATGTGGTGTTTGTTTATGGCAGTGAATGTTTACTTGGTGCTTTTCAGAGTTCATAGGTTAATCTTATCTGCTGCATTGTTTTTGAAAGTGATACAAACTGAGACTATTTTAACCCAGTATATTAAATTTGTCAGTCCTCTTAATGAATTAATGATACAAGTGAGGCTCCTTATTAAAATAATCATTTTGTGTCTGTGGTTGGCCTGGCAGATATCAGCCCACCAGCACAAGGAGTGGATCACAGGCAAGTCCAGAAAGAGCTAGGAGACGTCATTGTACGGCTACATAATCCTGTTGTGCTGACACCCACTACAGTTCAAGTCACCTGGACAGTAAGACTTTTCTAATTGCTACCTTTCATTGACAGCTTTAATCTTGTTTACTTGTCCCTGCAATTCTTTCTCAGCCCTGAAAAACTCTAGTCTGACCTGAGTACAAGTGGCCAGATAAGCTAACATTGTACAGACAATGAACAATGTGCTAAAGGAATGGATTCTTTCTTTCTTTCTCGCTTTCATTGTGTCTATCTGTCTTTGTTAAAGTCAATCAGGTTCAGAAGCTTCACATGTAGCACAAAGCATGTTAACTGACTGACAAAGAAGATCTTTTTAGCAGAATGTGTCTCAACCCATAATGCAAAAATGTGACTGATCCTTACACTATTCTTCAGTGTGTAAACTGAGTGTAATAAGCAAAATGAAGTATCAGAATTAAGGATAAATTGATATTTTCATAATCTCTCTCTACTGCAATCCATGGGGACCTCCCGCCACAATATCCCATTGCCTGGTGACCTTTACTTGCAATAATGATCTTCCTACAAGGCACTTGTGGACAGATGTGCGTGCAGATAATGCATGGTCTAAGTATGTAATGGTATTTCATTCTATAGCACAAGCTCTAACTTCACCTGATGGATTATGGAAGACCTGAATCTCTTTGACATTACCTACAACGTCTCTGTTTAAGAGGTCAAACTATAGGGTTAGAGCTCCCGAGGACTAAGTTTATAGTATGTAGCTTTCAAAATGCTACATTTCTTTTCCTGGCACTTCAGGGAAGGGATTTGTAACCATAGAAGCAGAGATTTTCTAGGGCACTACACACCACAAATGAGTGCTTCGTTCTTCAGGCAGTTACCCTGTGGAGGGGAATACCAGAGAGGGGAGAGTGGACTAAGCACCACAGCAGTGCACAGGGCTTGAATGATTATTTTATATATGCTACTGCAGGGATCCAGGCAATGGGCACAGTATTTTTTGTTTACACGTGTGGTCTCACTACAGCCACCAGCTAATGAGTCATGTAGACTATAAAAGAGAAGAGGGGACTGAAGATGAGAAGTGTGTATATGTATGTGTGTGTTGGGGGGAGAGGGTGCGTGGTGAATTTTGCAGCACTGATGTAAGGCTTGTTGCCTTTTCACTACAGAGCTTGGCTTGGTGGGGACTCAGACCTAGGTCCTACCAAATTCGCAGCCATGAAAAATGCATCACGGACCATGAAATATTGTCTCCCCCTGTGAAATCTGGTCTTTTGAGTGCTTTTTACCCTGTACTATACAGATTTCACAGAGGAGACCAGCGTTTCTCAAACTGGGGGTCCTGATTCAAAAAGGGGTTGCAGGCAGGGGGGGTCGGAGGTGTGTGTGTGTGGCAAGGCTATTTTAGGAAGGTCGCGGTATTGCCACCATTGCTTCTGCCCTGCCTTCAGAACTGGGTTGCTGGAGGGTGGTGGCTGTTGTCCGGCTGCCCAGTTCTGAAGGCAGCGTCAACACCAGCAGCAGCGCAGAAGTAAGGGTAACAATACTGTAACCCCCTCTACAATACCCTTACGACACCCCCACTCACCCCCCACAAATCCTTTTTGGATCAGGACCCCCACAATTATAACACTGAAATTTTGGATTTAAATAGCTGAAATCATGAAATTTACAATTTTTCAAATCCTGTGACCATGAAATTGACCAAAATGGACCGTGAATTTGGGAATTCTCTCCTGCCCTCTCTCTCTTCAGCCAGTCCTGCTTACATGTGGCGATGGTTGGTCTCCAACTCAGAGCAGCAGCTCTTCTTAAATACAGTCTCTGTCTCCTTTTGCCACATGCTCAGCTGAAAAGCTCCAGCCCCTCCCTCAGTAAGGCACCGGTGCAGAAAACCCTTTTTTCCCTGGGGGTAGGTCAGTAGTTAAGAATCATTCAAAGTTGATAGCCCCAGTTTGTAGTCCCCATGGCTTCTCTGTGACAGTCCTTCAGTGAAGCGTCAAGAGCCTTCCCTGGGCAGGATAGCTATCAGGAATGCATTTAAATAGGCTAGCCTTGGGCAAGGTTAGATGTGTTCATCAAATAATACAAAATGGAGGTCCTAGTAAAATAGGGCTTCAGAATACAAAATGGAGTGCACAGTTTGATCCAGACACACTCATTCTTTCCACCAGGAAGAGATTAAATAATGTGAACAAACTTTCACATTGGTGCCTACCCTGTTTTTCATAAGGAAAATATAAATTGTTATGGTTTATAATATCAGCTTTTTTTGCTAGATCCCTTGATGTGAAAAGCAATGACCCTACACCATCTAACAAGCACACAATGCCCACCGGTGATACATTAGAATTGCCCTAAGGAAGGAAGAGATGGGGAGGGAGGGGGAAGTTAGCGCTGCTAATTAGAAAGTTTCTAGCAATCAGGACAAAACCATTTAATTAACCACAGTCTCTGGGATAGCAACCACACTATCCAGAGAGTAAAGCCAACTTATGTAGCATAAATATCCAGCATAGCTAGCATCCAAAAGGAGACAGATGCCAGAAGAATGATGTGACTCTTTCCCTTCTGGAAATTCCTGTTTGGAATTCAAAAGCTTTGCTAGATGACAGACCACCTAGATGCCTTTCTACCATTCTGATGGCTGGCAATCTGGCATCAGTCACTCCCCTTCTTTGGGTTCTGTTGTTACAGATTTTTAAAATGATTCTGAAATTGTCTCCTCTGTTCCAAATCAGGACTTGAAATTCCAGAAATATTTTCCAGAAATAATAATTCTGTGATTTGCAAACTTTATATATACACCTCTACCCCAATATAACGTGACCCGATATAACACAAATTCAGATATAACGTGGTAAGGGATAGCTCAGTGGTTTGAGCATTGGCCTGCTAAACCCAGGGTTGTGAGTTCACTCTTTGAGGGGGCCACTTAGGGATCTGGGGCAAAATCAGTACTTGGTCCTGCTAGTGAAGGCAGGGGCCTGGACTCGATGACCTTTTGGGGTCCCTTCCAGTTCAAGGAGATAGGATATCTCCATTATTTAAATTTTTTTTTAAATGTAAATTTTAAAGCAGCGCTCCGGGGGGGGGGGCGCTGCGCACTCCGGTGGATCAAAGCAAGTTCGATATAATGTGGTTTCACCTATAACGCGGTAAGATTTTTTGGCTCCCGAGGACAGAGTTATATCGGGGTAGAGGTGTATGTATTGACTATAATATTGCATCCAAATATCTATGTCAAAAGAAGTCTGAAATTGCAAAATTAAGCCCTCAAAAGTTAGGTAATGGCAGTATTAAGGTTACCATTACAACTTACTTTTCCCCCGATACAGTCTTTAATTACATGGTCACATAGGGTATGTCTACACTACGAAATTAGGTCGAATTAATAGAAGCCGGTTTTATAGAAATCGGTTGTATACAGCCGATTGTGTGTGTCCCCACATAAAATGCTCTAAGTGCTCTAGTCGGCGGACCGCGTCCACAGTACCGAGGCTAGCGTCGACTTCCGGAGCATTGCACTATGGGTAGCTATCCCACAGTTCCCGCAGTCTCCGCCGCCCATTGGAATTCTGGGTTGAGATCCCAATGCCTGAATGATGCAAAACAGTGTCGGGGGGGGCGGTTCTGGGTACATGTCGTCAGTCCCCTCCCCCTCCGTCACAGCAACGGCGGACAATAGATTCGCGCCTTTTTACCTGGGTTACCTGTGCAGACAATATACCACGGCAAACATGGAGCCCGCTCAGCTCAGCTCACCGTCACCATATGTCATCTGGGTGCCGGCAGACATGGGACTGCATTGCTACACAGCAGCAGCAGCTAACTGCCTTTTGGCGGTAGACGGTGCAGCATGACTGGTAGCCTTCATCGGCGATCTGGGTGCTGGCAGCTGTGGGGCTGGCAGCCGTAGGGCTGCACTGCACCAGCCCTTGCCTTTTGCCTTTTGGCAGTAGATGGTTTATTACGACTGGTATCCGTCGTTGTCATACAACAATGGCTGTCAATCATGGGCACCTGGGCAGACATGCTCAGTCCTATTGAACTGTCTTGACAATGATGGCTATCAGTCGTAGTATGCCATTTTCTGCCAAGCGCCCTGTTGGATCATCGCACATTAGCAGAGTCTTCCCTGAGCAGCAGATCGTGCAATAGGCCTGAAGGCTACTGCCAAGCGCCCAGTATTTGCTGCCAAGCACCCAGAAGATGCCGAGGGCTATCAGTCATGCTGCACTGTCATCTTAAGATGTAAAAAATAGATTTGTTCTGTATTCATTTGCTTCCCCCCTCCCTCCGTCAAATCAATGGCCTGCTAAACCCAGGCTTTTGAGTTCAATCTTTGGGGGGGGCCATTCTGTGTGACAGTTGTTTGTGTTTCTCCCTGATGCACAGCCACCTTTCTTGATTTTAATTCCCTGTACCTGTACGCCATGTCGTCACTCGCCCCTCCCTCTCTCCCTCCCTCCCTCCTTCCCCTGGTCCGTCAGATACTAGTTTCGCGCCTTTTTTCAGACCAGACGCCATAGCTAGCACTGGGATCATGGAGCCCGCTCAGATCACCGCGGCAATTATGAGCACTATGAACACCACGCGCATTGTCCTGGAGTATATGCAGAGCCAGGACATGCCAAAGCAAAACTGGGAGCAGCCGAGGAGGCGATTGCAGCGCGGCCACGAGAGTGATGAGGAAATGGACATGGACATAGACCTCTCACAAGGCACAGGCCCCAGCAATGTGGAAATCATGGTGTTCCTGGGGCAGGTTGATGCCGTGGAATGCCGATTCTGGGCCCAGGAAACAAGCACAGACTGGTGGGACCGCATCGTGCTGCAGGTGTGGGACGATTCCCAGTGGCTGCGAAACTTTCGCATGCATAAGGGCACTTTCATGGAACTTTGTGACTTGCTTTCCCCTGCCCTGAAGCGCCAGAATACCAAGATGAGAGCAGCCCTCACAGTTGAGAAGCAAGTGGCGATAGCCCTGTGGAAGCTTGCAACGCCAGACAGCTACCGGTCAGTCGGGAATCAATTTGGAGTGGGCAAATCTACTGTGGGGGCTGCTGT